GTTGTTCCAGCCTGTTAGCCGGTCTGAATTCGAACAGTGTGGCTACACCCACTGTGCTGGTGGTTGGTATCAAGCACAATGCAGCAGAGGTAAAGCAAACGAGATCCAGGCTTGGGGGGCACTTCTATGCAAAGCAGTGCCCAACGACACAGCAGCACATGAGCGTTGTTTTACACCACAGTTAGAAGAACGGGCTTGCACCGGCCTGGCATGCAGTCTGAAGCTAGCCACCTGCGTCACCAGAAGCTCCGGCAGGGAAGCATGCTCTTCGTGAAAGAGCTGCTTGCCGGAACAGCACAAAACCCACACACTTGCCCACAAGTGTTGGCCCTGGAACTTGTGGCGCCCGGGTTGCACGGGCTTGAATCTACAGCTTCGAAGCTTTGGCCTGTCTTCTGCTGGCGTCTTTGGATTCCACTCACGCCTTGCTTTGATAGCACAGCTCAAGTAGTTCCTTGCGCATGCGGAACAGTCGGAGAAGGGCTCACCTGGTCGTCTGCATGGTCGGTGAAGGACAGCTCTGCCACGAGAGCTGCCTAGCACACGGCATGTCCAGACAGCTCCGCCCGGCATCGGAGAGCTGCATGCACCCACAGACGGGTCCCCAGAACGGGATCCGCCAAGTCTGCCATGAGACGAAGGACCCATGCCTCCGTCTCCCAAGATGTTGTGGAAGCTGGCAAAGTGAGCAAACAAGATTCCTCTGTGACACCGGCGGCATGGGCAGCTCAGGCACCACATGCGCACGAGGAGACATTGCATGTCCATGCACACTTAGTTGAGAATTGCGCTCAAGTATCGCACCCTTCTTAGTTGACCACTTGTGGCATGCCGTGACCATGTTGAGGCACATGCTTTGCATTTTGGATTCTCTCTGCCGGGCCGTGTGGACCAAAGGTAGCACCCACACGTCTCTTGAAAACAGAAAGCAACCCAACAGGCCCGCAGCCGCTCCTCACGGCGGCCTCGGACGAGCCCCACTGAAATTCTGACTTCTGCTTACTGTGCCAACCTGATCCCAAAATCTGCCGGGCAGAGAAGCCATCGGACACGACAGGAGATTGCTTCTAGATTCGTTAGATGGCCGTTTAAACTTGTGCCTCAGTTTCACTTCATCAAGGTGTCGTGTCGGGCACCGGACACATGTTACAATGTTCTCTGGTACAAGAAAGTCATTACGGAACAAAATCAGCACACACATGCACATTGAAACTTCCATGTAAAGACCCTGCCACCGAATACATGCCGATATTGCATGCTGGCAGAATCATTCGCTGGCGTAGTCTGAGGTGATGTAACTACAAAAAGCAAGATCTCTTTTTATAGGTGCTTGTGAATCACAGCAGAAGCACGAAGCTATAACAAAAAGTCGCACTCCGGACCATAATTGTGACGGAACAAGAATTCCTTGCCCAGGCACCAGGGATTTCAGGTAGGGGAGGGGCCATATCTCCGGAGCAGAGAGGAAACTGTGATGCGAAGGACAAAGAAGAATGCAGACATCACATGCCTGCTCAGTCAGTAGGTGCAATGTTCGCCTGGACTCAGACTTCACCCAGGACGAAGCCCAGGCAAGCGACCGTGACCAAGGGATGTGAAGAACTGGCTGCAGGTTTGTGATGCAAACTCCGCCGGTCCATTCGGCAGCCCAAGTTGCAGCGACTTTTCAACTTCGGGCCCAGGGCTGTCTCAGGCGTTCACTGCGGCTCTGGCGATTCTATATCTTATTGAGAGCGTTCCAGACAGCCATGATTCCCGCCGAGGCCTAGGCCAGGAAGTCAAGTGCCCCATGGTGCCCACAAATACTGTGCTGCGCATGCTGCTGTAGAAGTGGAGCGTGGCTTTGCATCTCGCATGGCTCGGATCTTTGCAGACTAGATCTTGCCTGCAGTCCCACAGTGAGAATGCCTTGGCCAACACAGGACTTTTTTTGGGCTTGTGGGCCTACCAGTGCTGTAGCAGACATAGCCCGGCGACCCGGGCAAAGATCAGGTGGTCGAGACAGCAGAACAGGCGGAGCGAGTTGAAAAGACGAGGCGATGGTCAGCAAGCGCTTCATTCCCGCGCTGTTGTGGCCTGAGCTTGTTGCGATGTGTCCACAGGTGTGTCGGATCGCCAAGGTTGGCTCAGCGGGAAAGGGCGCCTGCAAATGCGAGTTCTTTTGCAGAGTTTGGGAGCCGGGGATGCAGTGAACTCTGCGTCCTTCACCCCAAAGCAAAGATGCGTGCCTGCTGTGATACTCACGTCACAGAAGCCTTGCAGGATCCCAGCTGCAATGGCACCACCCTGTCGTCTGTCACAGCCGATCCTTCCTCCGATGGCTCTCAGCGCCGCAAGAAGGTCTCTAGACTCCAGCCGGTAGAGCCAAAGTGGCCGTCCCTTCGGCGCTGACAGCCACCTCAACAGCACCTCAGGACTCCCTTACACGGGATTCCCGGGAAGCCTCCGCTGGCCTTCCTGTTCAGAAGCTCGACGCCGGCACCGGCATCACCGGCACATCCACAAGCATCACCGGCAGCGGACGAGGCTGGCTTTTGAAGCAGGTCTGTCCGAAGCACGGTCGACCCTCTCCTCCTAACACCACAGATATTGCACACCTTTTTGCCACACCTTCATCGCTAGCTAAAAAACTTGGGAAGCTAGCCGAGTTCGTGCCTTATCGGCAACAATCTCCAACCTGCCTGCACTCTGCCAGCCTTGCCAAAAGTAGTGGACTGTCTTCGCTTTGGATGGCAGCTCCCGCAGGCAAAACGACGCGAGGAAGTGGCCATCCGGATGCTGCGCTTGTCAGGACGTGCTGACCGAAGTGCACCAGAAGCGTGGAGATGTAGCCTGTTGAATCCCTCGTTGCCATGGCCTCAAGATGCTTTCATGCGGCAACCGGGCCGTGTGCCTCTGCTCACTTTCTCTTCACTGTCAGTGCTCGGACCTCTAGCAAATGCCATCACAGCGACAGACACAGGTATTGCGGGAGGCGACGGCGATGTTCAACCCCCGCAACCCAAATCTACCCCTATCCGGCCCTACCTGCAAACCTCGGCCGACCCCGCTGGCTTTGCTTCTTGCGAGCCGAGGGCTCGGCTGGAAGCGTACCCTCAGGCCTTGCGACATCGAGCTGGGCGGTGAACTGTGTATCCTGACGACCTCATCGCCGCATTGCTGACCCGAATTCTCCTGCCCGTTCGCGCAGCTGACGCTCCAAGTTCAGCACAGCCTGCCGGGAGTGTAACAGAAGCACTTAAGAGGCCAAGGGAATGATCATGATGCCAAGGGGCGTTTTTGTCATAGTGGTATTTTCAATTCAATCATCAAGAGCACCCTAAAAACACGCGTGCATGAGCACTGAACATCTCAGGAGTTTGTAGGGCCGTGCTTTCTATTGCTGGGAACTTTTATAAGAATCAGGAGCTGCTTGATTTCCGCAGCACCATGCTTCAGCTGCAGCATATCCTGTCTTTCGCGACATGTACAAACTCTTCAGAAGCGTGCCTCATGAGCATCTGCAGGACCCTGGAGCCTGAGAGAGTCCGAAAATACTCGCGGCAAGCTCGGCGCCGATTCGGTTGAATATTTTCCGGGCGACATGGCGCTATGAAGTATGGTGCTCCGATATGTGAATTTCACCTTATCCAAGGACCGGTTGTGTTTAGTAGTCACGAAAACGTTCAAGGATTCAATTCAAGGATGCAAGACCGTCTCGGACGAAACTTCAACATGACATGTCGAAAGATAACTCCCAACTAAAGGCCCTTCCGAATGGTCTATGCAAGCCCAACGCCCAGCTACTCAGAGCCTATACATTCGTGCATTTCCTGCGCCGATTCCTGGAGCGATTTCGACGCCAGATCTGCGCGGATTCGAAGTCAGGTTGTAAGATTTACAAAAACGTGCCACAAAGTTGCCAAAAACTAGGGACAAACTTAGCTCCACAGCTTACTGTCTGTTCAGGAGTCACGTGTCTTGGCTTGCAGCCAGGTAGCAAAGCAACAGCCGGGACTGCTGCGATGCAGGATGCTCGTGGAGTCCAAGATAAAGCCTGCATACATAGAGCCGGAGAAATTTTGAATGACGACCACACATGTCGAATGCTGCGCCTGCAGTCACGGCTGGCAGGGCCAGAATCGGCTCCAAAACCTCAGGACACACACAGGGTTAAGGGCATTCGGCATGCACCGCGCTCAACACCCAGCTGAAAGCTTCAAGGCCCCTGCTCGCAGTGCTAAATCGGAACGGTGCAGTTCACATGCACAGCACGCTTAGCCTTCCGGCGCAACACACCACCGCAACGACAACGGATAACAACCGAGACTTCCAGATGGCCTGCTCACCAACAGCTGCCCAACTCCCGCAAAGTTCGTCACGGGTTCAGCATCCAGCTTTCCCCTCGGTGTCAAGGGCGCCTTTGAGCTACATCCCTTTCCTCTTTGGCATCATGATGCTCCAAGCACGTGCAGCTCTTTTCTGCGCTAATTTCACTCCACCGGCTCTACTGGGACTCCTCCCAACAAAGGCGTGCTACAAATGCCACAACAGGGGTTCCCTGGCAGTGAGGGAAATTTGCGGTATCGGGCTCCCATAAGTCATTAGCGTTTCGAGCCCTGACTCGTGAAGCGTGGGTTCAGTCTGCGGCCTTGTCCATCTTGCGGCCCGTGCCGTCACGACACGAGTCCATGAACCCCAACGAGGTTCGACAATGCCGCTGTCAAATGTCCAAAGCAAATCCGCAGCATTACTCTAGACTCTAAGATACTATGACGAATGCCATGACATTTGCCTCCGTGATGCTCTTAGCTTGGCCCGGAACAACCGTATGCCTGTCTTCGCTCAAACTACGAACTTCAAGCCAACACGTAGTGGTGCGCGAGATGGATGGAGTGAGTGACACTGCGATTTCCACCATCATGCGGAGACTCCAACCCGTTGAATCTTGCAGCCTCCCTCTGCCCTGACGCGGCTGTTCTGTTTTGAGTGACTCTCCAGCATCGCACGTGTCCCCAGCATCACAGGCCCAGCAGTTGGCTGTGGATGTCGTCCTCCACAGAAGGCCGGGGAGCCTGCCACGATGACGGTCCCACAAGAAACCCCTTGACGAAGGAATGCGCAAAGCCTGTGCACCGACTGCCGACCTGGTCAAAGCACTTTTCAGTTCGAAACATTCACACTTCCCACATCTTCCCACATCTTCCCACCTCCCCTTCCCGTGAGCTGCTTGAGGGCCGCCATGGCCTTTGCCGTTGGGGCCCTGACGGAATCGCTCTGGCACGTCTGCTACAGGTGTGCTGTACTTGCTGAAGCTTGGAGGTGTCCTGGTGGGAGGCCACAGAGTGCCCCGGGCCCGCACCACGACCCTGCAGCTTTCTTCCCTACATGCTCACCCTAAAGGGGACTTGCTTTCCGAGTTCCAGGCTTTGGCTTTTCCCTTGCTCTGGTCATAGTACTTCTGCCAAATCTTGCACCTCACAGCAATTGCCAGGAAGTGCGTCGCACGTACAGCTTCGTGCAGAAGCCCGCACCACTGGTAGTATTCTCGCCAGCACTGCTGACCTTGGAAAACAAGCCGTCTCAAGCACAAGCACCTGGCGACTGCCAGCTTTGGACCCGTGCGATATGCTTCAAACTCCTCGGGCGATGTGCCTGCATCTTCCCCGAAGGAACTTGTGAAGCGACTGCTTAGGACCAGCGCGACCCGATGAAGCGACAGCGACGGACGTGTCTCAAGCCCCCCCCCACCTGGAGGTGGTTCTGGGACGGAAGGCCTCGAGGCTCTCACATGAAGACAACAAACGGAAAGCAAGACATGAGAAGCATCTGCAAGCAAAGAACGCTGGCTGCATTCAAGTTTTGCTTACTACCAGTTCAGTTACTTCCGAGTCTAGCTTCTCCATGCTCCCTCGTTCCCATTGATCATCCATCGTATCGGCACTGTCCAGGCTGCAGCACTGCGACTAAAGCAGACCCTCCTGTCTTCCCGGGCAGGTTGGGAAGCTTTTCTCTGTTCAGGCCTGTTGCAATCTGCTGCAAGTGCTCATGACTGTGGATCCATGCTGCTGCCGCTCCTTTGCTGCGAATTCTAGATTTCCTTCGGACAACAACCTGCCTGGCTCTCATGATACCCATGCGTACCCACGCCTATCCATCCAGATCTGCTCGTCCGAAAAGGCTGCAAATCAAGGCTCCCGCGTGAAGCCAGCTTGGGGAAGCCCCTGCGAGAAGCCCCAAACCCGTTCAACCACCTCACATTCTGTGCCTGCTCTGCCCCATGTCGGCCCTGGCCCAGCCTGTGCTCCGGTCCTGGCGAAAAGGATTGTATGCCAGCAATAAACGCACATGTCACGCATACATACTTGCATATGCATGCATGTGTATGCATATATATATATATATATATATATATTGTACAGTACATGCTTACATCTTCTGCTTTGCTGGCGGTTTTGGCAAATTGCATCCCGGGCTTTAGCACCTGCCCTTTGCAGGTGTGCAGAAGACAGAATAGGGGACGAGCAGTTCGGTGCGTGAAGAACAAAGTGGCGGGGTTGCCGAATTTGCTGTCCGAGTTTGCCGAAACAGGTTCTGTACAAGCTCTTCCCTTCACTTCCAACTAATATGAATACGCAGAGTCCTGCTTCTCATGCAACACCTAGCTGCTAAGTTTCAAAAGCCCGGGCTGGGTGGCTTCGAGGCAACGGATAGGGTGCGCACATCACAAGGCATCCTACGCAACCGAGCGAGAAGACCCTAAACCTAAACCCTCAAGCCAGAAATAGCCACATGCGGAAGGCGGAAAGTCAAGATGTCGGACACGTGTGGTCGCCTTATGGTTTTGGGGATCGAACGACAACTAACGGATTCAGACCTGGGCCGTGTACCAGATAGCTCCACGACGAGAAGTTATTCACTCGAACAAACACGAAGTCCTGAACATCAATCCATTCTTTGCTGCAACCTAAAGCTGAAGAACCCTAACAGTATGTTCGCAACAAAGCTACGTTTGAGATCGGTACTTATGACAATTTCAGCATCGGACAAATCACTGCCAATTTTATCGCAGCTTACAACAAACACATTTGTTGATGACTGTCGGTTGTGACCCAGTGGGCGACATGTGTGTCTCTCGGCACGTCTGCACATATGCAGGCATGTGTACATGCCTGCATGCACTCTTTATGGATGGATGCATGGATGGATGCATGCATGCATGAGAGCATGAGAGCATAAGTGAATTTCTGTATGTGTGTGAAAGAGTGACTGCAGATTAAAACTGAAGACACCGAATACAAATGCCCACTGTTGCAGACCCGACTTCATAAACTTGCCGGAAAGGCTGCTCGGAGACGTTCGCACCCAGATTTCTGGTCAGAGGTTTCGCATTCAACTCATGGGCATATATACGCAAGCCACACTGAGGCGCTGCGACGCAAGAGCCGATGCAAAAATGTCAAGTCCCACCTCAGCATCTGCGCTTTCCTGCAAGCAGATGGCGAAATCCAATATCATCTTGCGCACATCAAACCGCAAGCACGAAGCCCATCTTCGCCACGGTCCCAAATTAGATATAGGTAGATTCTGAACGTTGGTTTCATCTCCACGTTCCGTTCAAGCCCTGCATCTGCGGTGCCTTGTTCTGAGGATTTGGAGCTTGCCCTCTCATCCCTGTTCAATGGTCATGGGACGCTGTGCTTACTTTTGTCTTTGGCAATTCCAGGCGACTTAGACCAGCAACGACGGATAGCTGACCTTGTGATGAAAGTCTACCTGTATTGAAATCGGAGTCTTGCTGTTTCCCCTCTGAGCTTGGCACCGCCCTGTCGGATGTGCCACCGACTAGATTCGTCCTTCCTGCCCTCCCTTTGAGTATTCCCTTCTTTGCCTTCGTCCTGCAAAGACACACAAAAGCAGCTCGGCCTGGCAGCCAGCGCGGCCTGCTCTGCATCTTTAGCTGCGAAGTCCTGGCACGTCGCAAACACTGTCACAGGCTCGGTCCTCCTCAGGCCTCCCTTGGCCTGTTGTTCAGGAGCTCGCTGAGGAAAAGGCACTGCGCCAGCGGCACCTGCACTCACTCTGAAGATTTGCATGCCAGAAGCCAGCAGGCACGCTGAGGATAACTGGCTGTCTGGTGGGTCGAACCTGATCTGGGCCGCTTCAGAGGTGGCTCCCCTGGACGCACGACGTGTACTGAGAGAAGCTCTGCATTTACGTGTTGGTCCTGCCTGGGCCGGGGAGCGGCACTCCACGATTTGTGATCCCCGGGTTGGGGAAAGACTGGAGCGGCGTCTGCATGGGTTGTGGTGGCTGCACCTGCTGCAGCTGCACTTGCGGCAGCAGTTGGGGAACCTGCAAGAGCCGTGGCTGCAGATGTGGCTGTGTCACAGCCACAGCCACAGCTCCCACAGCTCCGTATCCCGAAGCAGCGGTTATGGATGGAGAAGCAAAGACCTCAGCTCCGCATATCTCCGCATCACCGCATCCACGGAGCAGCCTTGGCCCTGCATGAGTCCTGGGCAGGCCCAGGCCGCCCTGCAGGCCTCGGCGCCTTCGCACAGAGGGAGCTGCGCTCTGCGCTCAGACACGGTCGGACGTGGCACACCCGGCCTCAGGAAAGGTTCTCGGCCCAGTCTTGGCTTTGGGCAGAGCGGCAGACCTGCAAGCTCAGCCCTTTTCATGCTGACTCCATCGCGTGCCGAGTCCGCGGCTTGCTGAGCTGCACTTTGAGCGCGTCAATCATCTGCTGCCGGGCATCCAATCCTCTGTCCTGAGATGCGCAGAGGTGCAGAGGCCGTACCCCGTACCCCCCCGTACCCCCCCGTACCCCCCCGTACCCGCCGCACGCTTCAGCGAACTCTGCAGCCGAGGCAGCGGCCAGCTGAGCCATGACATCAGAGAACGCATCGCCCGCTCCCGCATCGCCCGCTGCAGCCGGCGGACTCGGCTCCTCTGACGGCAGGACGGCAGCACACAAAAGACGTGTTCGGGTCCAACTCCAAGTTCTCCTCGTCATCGACGTCGATGACGGCAAGAGTGGGCCTGTGTTCGGGACTGGAGAGCGGACGTTGGATAGACATCGATGCAAGCTGCGCTCAGCTGTGGCAGGCACGCAGTTGGGACCTCCGCTTCTTCTATCTCCTGCAACATGCAGCAAAGAGCATCACACCATTCACCTCTGGAGACGCCAAGCTGAAACGTGAATGCCCTGCCCAAAATCAGCTCTGCAAGCAAACAGGTTTCCCCATGATATTGACGCGCACCAGGCATGCCCTGGAACGAACTGAACAAACTCTGCCAAAACATGTGCTTCCTCGGCCAGGCTGAGCAACACCGGGCCATCGTCGCTTGGCAGCGGAAGCTGCTGCTTTGTGTCAGCATTGTCGAGCTTCGCCTCCGGATCTGCGCCATGTTTGAAGCCGATGTCGCCACGGCAACAGGACAAGGAGGAAAAGTAGACTACGGCCGCGATGACAACGGTGACCGTCAATGAACGAAAGCAACAACGACTACGAAAGCGTTCGGCCGTGCCACAACTGACATAACGATAACAACGTCATCGACGAGCCTAGGAATGAATGAAAGAGCTGTTGACAGCAGGGCCCCGGACGCGTAGTGCGCTGAGTAAGGATGCCCGCTGCTCCATGCACTCATCAACATGGCCTCACAGCATTTTTCCTCTGAGTGCCAGCCCCAGAGCCTGAACAAACATGCCAGCGGGTCCGAGCAGCGAGGGAAAATCTGCCATGACATCGGCTGGAGGTGCATACCAAGGTTGCTTGCAAGCTGAGACTCTTGAGACTCTTGAGCGTGTACAGGTCTTGCTACGCCCCATGCTGCAGACATGCCTTCGTCATCTCGACATGTCTCAATTCGCAGGCGCATCATGCATGGAGGCTGTCGAGAGACACGTGAAGGGAGTGGCAACTCATGTCTTGAGGTGGTTTAGTCTTATAGGCACTTGACCTTGATACGGCAAGAAAGATTTCAGAAGTCGAAAGATCCACGGTTTCATTTCCAGGGCTGAACGGAACAGAAATCTGCAACCAGGCGGAAAACTTTTCTGGTCCTCATCCATGCTGCATTTGATTGAGCTTGGTATGGAGGCTGCTGTGAATCCGCTCGAACGAGTCAACCTTTTGCATCAGCAATTGGCTGGCGATGAGTTGGGGTCTGCACTGAGCGGAAGACCCACTTCTGCAAACCAGTGAACTGCTTGGCTTTCTCCCCACGGCCGGAACTGACTTGCAGAAAGCCCTCGGCCAAGCTCGCAGTTCAGCACCGAGCATGAGAATTAAGGTATCCACATTCCGATTGCCTCAATGCCGTCGATGCGAGCCGCAATTTTCTCGTCGAGGATCAACTGAACCAGCAGGCTCACCACCTTTCGGAAAACTGATCACGAAAAACACCATTGACACGATGGCTGGTACATCATGTCTGAGCTTAGCTGAACTCCAACTACCCAGGACCCTAAATTAACTCATGGAGCCTCTTCGTTTGTGACATTGATTTCCTTGGCAAGGAAGTCCAAGCTAACGCACCGGTAGGGCTTGATGATGTTCTGCAGCACCTGTTCCAGTTTCACAGAGTCTCAGAGCGACGTCGAAGCTGACAGCTCGGAGTGTCCAGTTTCTGTGTTGTCAGCTAACGGTTCAGCTGTGTTCAGTGAAGTCAGGCGCCCTCTCTGGCAAAACATACTGGGAAGTCTGGTCTCATCAGTGTCTCGGGAACAACCCAGCAGCGCCTGCAAACGAATGTTTCGAAGCAAGTCCTGCCAGATCAAACGTGATTCAAGACACCATAGAGCCGATAACCAGAAACACGAGACGGTCCTGCAGATACGTGCGAATGAAGGTGTCAGACAGAATCCTGTAAGACGGATTTGTCAACAGCTGGTCGATCGTACCGATATCATTCTGCCTCGGATGACGCAGCCGACTTGCTGTTCATCGTGATTCGTCCGGCTGAACATGAAAACTAGGACAGGTGCTCGTATGCTGTCCGTAACGAGGCCATTGCGCTGATTTCAGGATCGTCCTGATACACCTGCTCAGTCATGACACTGAGCTGATCGTGACTTTGTGTCGCCCAGCTCACACGCACAAATGTGACTCCTCTTCGTATGAATCCTTTGGACATATTTTTTTCGAACGCGGAAGGCTCTTCGAAACGAGCCCATCAGCACCGACCTATCCTAATTCAGCTACTGGTGGCTTAAATTAAGCACGGCCCTTGAAAGGTTTATGTACTACCTTTGCCCAAAATTGACGGTCGTGGCAGCGTGGATGAACTTTACGGAAAAGAGAAGTGTTGTACATCCATATCAGACCGGAGGATCTGTGCGCTGCAGATATATCTTGGTGACTAGGCACTGCACAGAATGCATGTGTTATCTGGTCATGAGTCGGGGCAGCGTCTGAGAGCAAGTGGTCCATGCGGTTCGCTGCCTGTGTCATGCATGATTCGGCCCAGTGTATTCTGGGCCGCCCTGGTCTATTTGGAGTCCTAATCTGACGGTATGCGTGAGAACCAGTATATGTGCATTGGCTTTCCAGCGATTCTGGGTGACGATGCAGATGTCGGAAAAGCTGCAATCGTTGCTGAGAATATGGCTGGGATTGGGTGATTGCTTTGCGTGCGTGGTAAGATAAAGAGGCCAAGTATTGATTTGAACACTGCGAGGCCGAGGGGTCCAGGACCCTATGGTAGAAAGAAGAGGACTTGATCTTAAAGATACGACGAAGAGACTTATAATGAATTGTATCTAGCTTGTGGACTCATGAGCTGACTATCTATGGGGATACAGGAAGGCTACCGTCACCCCCAACGATGCTGGGTTTTGCAGATGTTTTATGCAGCTCTAGCTCCAACGTTCCGAATAAAGAGCATTGATTCTGTTGCAGTTCTGTTGGCGCGGAAAACGTAACTGTCACGTTGCTCCAGCTGTGGCAGGTGTGCTCGCGTCCTTGGACGCACTCATTTCCCACCCCTCGCCCGGCCCCCCCCTTCATTTGACCTGTTTGTTTTGCCCTGCCTTTTTGTTGTTGTTTTCAGCCTCCGCCCACCCTCCCCCTGCCCTTCCCCCCTCCTCGCCCTGCCCTGCCCCCACCCCCTCCCCTTTCTGCTCCTTTACCCCCTTCCACTGCCTTTCTGAGTCCCTTGCCCCCACCCTCCCACTTCTGCATCTAAAGTGCTCTTTCACACTACAGAAGCAAGTCGATGAGTTCTGTCACAGTGCTGGTCTCCGGCAAGCCGAGGCGGGCGGCGTAGCGGTAAAGCTATCCTGTCCCCCAAAAAGCCAGATCCATCGTAAAGTCCAACACATAGGCCACTGTTGGGCCCTGGGTATTTTGTACTTGCGGGAAAGCAGTTTGGCGGTGCTCCTGAACTCGGCCAGTACATGCAAGAAACATCCTGGTTGTCTCCTGGTCGTCTCTTGAAAGTCTCGTCTCCTGGTGGTCTCCTGGATGCTTCATTCTGGGGTTTCCAGAGCTTTGTTGCGCGGAGTGGTTTACTTCAGGTTTCCTGATATCTTATGGGGACCGCAAAAGCCACAACTGTCCCCGTTGCTTGCCTTTGTGTGGGTGCTCGAAATCCCACCAACAAAATTGTTTGGGAAATCGTGGCCATGACCCAAATCACTCGGTGCAAGCCAGGTTTCCAGCGTGGATTCAACAAAATCAATCGCGAAAGAAACACGAGTCCTTCACCGGCTGCAGGCTGGAATGCCACGAAGGCCAATATGTCCCCTTTGGAGCTCCCTTCGCTACGAGAAGAGCACCGAAGACACCCCACTAGAGCCAGTCGCAGGCTTGGCTCGACAAGCCTTAAGATCGGTTGGAACCGGATAGAGACCAACTCTGAGGGCGATCAACTGCACCCTGTGAATTGCGGGGCCTTGGCTTCCCGCGAATCGAAGGGATTGATCGAGGAGAGCGCCAGCATATTTGCCAGCACCTAACCGAGCTAAGGCAGGATTGAGGCCTTCAGCGACAAAAGCATCCAAGGCATCTACCACGTACTTGAGCATGGTTTTTGCTCGGCTTGCATTGCCAGTCTCTTGGTAGTTCTTGAAAGCTTCAAAGAACTCGTTGTAGGCAGCCTGAAAGCAATCATCTCTGGTGCTGGGCGCTCATTTCCAGGTCTACGAACTCATGTACGGGTGACACTTCATGACATCGTTTGTCAGTGCGGCCTCCCACTTCTTCTCACTCATGAACATTTTGCCACCACTCTCTCGGATCACAGCAATGTTCCGCGGATCCGCAATAGCCTTGGTGTTGTGACTTCGCGGACAACTTCACATTTCATCAGCAGTGCTTTGGGCCGCACAGACGTGAGGTTGATGGTCTTGGGATAGATCTCCTGTTTGTGTTTGCAGCTCAGTGAACATCGTGGTGAATGTCCCACAAATCCCAGGCTTCCGGTCTTCCATAAGGCCTTCATGCGCATGGAGTTCTTGGTCAGGGTGCACATCTGGCAGACGCGCATCGGTCGGGTGCTACACTTAGGGCAGGCGGAGACCCTTCCGCCTGGATCTCGAGCGCATAGACTTCGAGGAGATGTGAGCCCTGGCGACTGGATTGAAAGCAGTGAAACCTGCGATGGACCTTCGAGACTCGCACACTGAGATTGTCGCCTTGCTAACATCGTCCGTGCCATCCGGCTTCTGGCAGGTCCTATGCAGCGCCTGCACGCGGGATCACAGCTGGCAGAGCCGATGCAGAGATGCCAGCCATTGCCAGCCATTGAGAGCCTTCACCAGGCGCTGCAGCTTCTGGACGTCACCTTCGTTCCCCAAGGCACCAAAGTTCCCCCTCTCGGCCATGCTCTGGCATCTCTGGCGCAGACCCATCTCCAGGTGCAGCTTTGCAAGCTTTACGGATGTGCTGAACCAGAGCCTCAGTCTCCGCCCAAGCTCTTCTCATCCCCGGCTCTGCGGCCCTGCGCTGTCTGCTCCTGGCCTCTGGTTCGCTGTCGCCTTTAAGGCATCGAGGGTCAACTCGTAGATGGTCTCCAGCTTCGTCAGGTCGCTGGCAGACGACACAGAATCAAGCACCTCGGCAAAGCGACAAACCACCATACTCAGACTGGGAAATGCTGTAGAAAGCTGGGCTCCAGTCCGTGTTGATCGCCTCACTGGCATCATTCCTGGTCACCTGGAAACGCAAATGCTCGAAGAAGCTAGAGCTAGCGCACAATCGTCCCCAAGATAACTTGCACACACAGACCTGGTCCATGTAGCTCAGCAGCTCCCGATATCGTGTGGCCATCTCCTCGAACCTCCCTATCCTGGCGCCTTGGAGTTCACATGCCCCCACGCATCTGTACGAGACCCTGCGGATCCCGACCTCCATGATCCCCCGAGGCTCGAACACAAGATGACGATGTTTTGAAGCGCTTTGAACCTCCAGACTACCTGAGCACAGGACGGCAGCAGAAGCCGACAGCAAGCTGCCATTGTCATGCAGGTGAGGTGCCTCGCTTCCGCGTGCGTTTTCCAGAGTAACCACCCTCTGGAATTGTTCAAGCGCCTAGGCGGTACGAAGTCTGAAGACTGTAGCTGCAGTCCTAAGGTGTGGCAACACCTGCTCTGGGCAATTCTGCTTGTTGTCATCCGCCTTGCCGCTCATAAAGAGTCCAAGCTCCAGCTCCGGCAGCAGACTGGTAGACTGGCTCACTGCCTCATAGAAGGTGTTCTCAATCTGGATGGCCTCTTCGTCTCCATCCTTGCAGCTTGCATAA